AACCCCAGACCATAAACCCTTAACTCTATAAACCCAATATAGGGGCCTTGATAATCAGAATAGGGTCTTGGGGCCCATTATACTATAAGCATTATAAAGAACACCCGAAATGGTATTGGTAATTATTTCGGCCCCTATATCTATTACACCCGAAACATTCTCTAAGCCCCAAACCCGCAACCCTTAACCCGAACATCCAGTAAGCCGGGGAGGGGGATGGGGACCTTTCTTGTCCTTTCCTCGTAAAGCTGCCGGCTCGGCCGCCTGCTCTCCGCGCTTTACGACTTGGGTTTAGATGTTGGAGGGTCTTTTTTCAGATATTGCAAAAGGTGCTTCATAGGGTTTCAGAATTTTAGAGGGTTCTAGAAGGTGTTTAAGTGGTTCTTTAGTCTACGGGTTTCATTCATAGGCTCTTGAAAGGGTGAGTAAAGGACTTTAGAGTCAGGGCATGAGCCTTTAGCATGTAAGATTTAGGGGGTTGAAAAGATGGTTTTCGGGTTTCAAATGCCGTGCTAGGGATTTAATTCTCAAGCTCTCGAGCTTAGTTTTCGGGTTCTCGGGGCTGAGTGGTGATTTACACTAGCATGTAGGGTCGCGGTTCATCTTTGGACAGTGTATTGGGCAGTGATAAGTGCGCTGCAGTACATGTTGCTTCTTGCTGCTACTGGTGCTTGCGCCCCGGATGGCTAAGAACAAGAAAATATAATGATGATGCTGATTATGACCATGACGATGACGATGCTGACGGTGTGATGAAGCTCGCGCTGTTCGTGGTGTTGACGTTCCTGCCATGGTGAAAATTATGCGCGGCGGAGCCACTGCACCACCTTGACTAGCTTCCCCAACTGCATTTAATTTAGCCAGTCATCATTGCATGACATTCATAAATTCTCTAGTGGTTTCCACAGTGTTGAGACGATAGAAGCTACTTTGCGTTGTCCGGGGATGCCTTGTTCCGTGTTCGCATGCTGGTTCTGGGTAAACGGTTAACCCTTGTATGGGTTTTGAGTTTAGTGATGTGCTCTGACAACTAGAACAAGGTGCCTGTTCCGAACCGAGGTGATTGGCTTTGGGTTATATACTTTGTAGGAAGACAAGCACATGATACGAAGGTTCAGAAGAACCTCTCCCTTGCCAGCTGAAACAGAATGCTGCCCGCTGCTGAACCATTGCCCCAGACCCTCACCAGAAAACACGAAGCCCTCTAGTTGTGGGGAGAGATGAAATTCATACAACTCTCTCTCTCTCTCTCTCTTTGCATTTCTCTCTCTCTCTCTCTCTCTCTCCCTCTCTCTCTCTCTATATATAGATGTATCTGTATCTATATCCCTGTACCTATATCTATGTCTTTTTTTGCATCTATATCTATATCCAAACCCACATACACATATATACATCTTTCGGCTTTCGGCTATCCTAAGCCCTGAATCCTGGGGTAACTGTAGACTCGACCCAAAGCCCTGAGACTCATAGGCCTCTTCAAGCTGTTGAAGGGCAGCACAAGCGAACATCTTGCAAAGTGCCGCTCCCACCTCCGAGCTCGCCACGGTTTAGGGTTTAGGGTTTATAGGGTTTACAGATGTGATACTGCGAAAACTAACAAGATTATATATATATATATATGTATATATAGTAATGGGAATTGTGAGAGTAGCAAATAAACTAAACCAGCCAACGAGTCAATACGAAAAGTCGAACCTTGTCTTTCTCTCTACATGACATGTCGATTGGGATTCAAGCCCATATAGAACCCATAGAATTCAGGGCGTGGTGATAGAGGCTCGGCTCTCAGAGTACCCTAAATCCCCGACGTTGGAAGCTGGTAGTTCCTATAGGTCGCCTTTTCGGGCATGAGGACACTGAGCTTCCAACTAGATAAAATTTACTTTATTGCCCAAAAGAGACTGCAGCCCAAGCCGTTCAGTTTCCGCTTGTACGGCCAAAAGGACGATGTCTTTCGGGAGAAGTGGTTCTGGGTAGGACACAGGACGGAGAGTTGGAAATGCTAGATACATTTCATGTCAGGCTCGGGGGTTTAGGGTTTAGGGCTTTGGGTTTCCGTTCCAGGCAGCCTTCCAGATCGCTAACATACCCGCTCCCCAAGCGGCAGCACACCATGAGCCGTGCTCCCTCAATCCTGCCACGTGACACCTAAGCTCTTCAACAGGGTGTGCTTTGAAATGAACTCCAAACAAGTCTTGCAGGCGTCTTAAAGTCGCCTGCTGTGGCTTCGGGGAGGACAAGCAACAATATGTCAATATGGTCCAGCTCTTCACTCGGACCATCGTTTTCTGACACAGTGTTCCATCCGCAGAGCGTCTTTGGGTCTACTGCATGATGACCTACCGCAGCGGCTGGAGGATCGATCCTCCCTTCTCGGGCATACCAAGTTCAGGGGTCCTTCCACAGCAGCTTACCAGCCTTAGAATACCTAGACGGCTCAATGTACTCAAGGTTCTTAGCTTCTTCGATGTTTTCACTCCTTGATTGACGTCGACAACTTTCAGAAGGACTCCTTCATACACGGATCGCCCTGCCCTGAGCTACAGCTGTCCTGTTAAAAGCAGAATCAGCGCCTTCATTGCAGTCCTGCTTGCTTCCGCGTACCCCCAGACCATAAACCCCATAAGCCCTAACCTCCACTACCCACTACGCAAACCCACAACCCCAAACTTGACATAAGCCAAGACGCCAAGATGCCTACTCCGGGATGCATTTGGGGCTTCGGACATGGGGTATTGGAGTTGTTGCGTTTAGGGTTTAGGGATCAGGCCAAGCTTTCGTAACATGTAGACATACATACTTAGCTCTCTGCGCTTCTGTGTTCGTTCGAGTATTAAGCTACACTTATGAATAAAGCCTGCGAAACCTCAGTCTCTGTAGCCTTTCGGATTCTGGGCGCTGGGAGCCAGGGCGAAAAGGTTTTGGGGCTTGGGCTTTGAACCAGCAGCTATGTTCGACTAAACTTGAGCAAGATGGGTGCTCAATGTTGCAGAATGCTTTCGATCGTCGTTCTGTTACAAAGACCCCTATCCATACCAGGACTGTCCACACTAGATTTGCCAGACACTCTCATTGGCATACCATGCACGTTTGACTGCCTTTCATATGTGCCTGCACTGGGCTCATGCATGTTGCCAGCCTGTTTTGACATGTGCAAGCTTGACAAGCAATTCCGACCGCAGCCAACCATGGTGCCGACTGTGCAGGTGAAACCTTTCTGAGAAAATCAACGTTTGCACACCTCCAACCCACATCCGTGCCTTGAAGGACGATGTTTCTCAAAACTTAAACCCTGAACTTGGCTTGAGGATACCGGAAGGTATAGCTTCGGTATGTTTGGAATGCAGTGTTCGGTTTGACCTAAGACAGCTTCGTCTTCCTCAAGGGCACTCTCAGGAACAGCACGCCATGTCCTGCAACGGGCAGATGTAGAAGCCTGACTCTACACCTCCGACAAAGCCTCATTCAACTGCGCTCTCAAACCACAAAGCTCTTTCAGCGTTACAGTCCTATTCAATTCTTACTCTGGTGATGCTCGTCTTGGCCATGTCTTACAAGCCAACCCCCAAAGACTAAACCCTAAAACCCAAAGTCTTAAACCCCAAACCCTGAACTTAAACTTCAAACCCTGAACCCTAAACCCTAAACCTAGGACTGCTATCTTCGGCTCCCCTTTTCATCGCTTGAAACTTCGACCCCAGGTTCGGATCTCCGGCTGCAGGTCTATGGGGGGTTTAGGGTTTAGGGTTTAGGGTTTAGGGTTTAGGGTTTAGGGCTAAACGGGGCCCCCAGAAGTAGAATAGGGTTCCTTTGAAGGGGTGCGTAGGGGTTTAGGGTGTAGGGGTTGACGTGGCGTTCAGGGTTTAGGGGCTACTATCGGGGACTTCCGCTTAGATGATCCTTAAGGTTAGTTTACAGGGTTTAAGGTTTAGGGATCTAGGGGTATAGGGTTTAGGAGTTGTGGGTGTAGGAGTTTAGGGTTTAGGGTGTTAGGGTTCATTGGTTTAGGGGCCTAAAGTTTAGAATTTCATGCAGGGTGCACGGCACTACAGTGGCCCCAAACCCCGAAACTCGACTCCAAAGCATTAACCGTTAACCCAAGGGAAATGCACATTTGAACGGGAGCGTGAAAGCTCCGAGCCCTGCATTGTTTTCTACTGGAGCCACGAGCACCGTGAAAGCTTCGAGCCCTCAGAACGAAACTCTCGGCCAAGCAAAACTTCAGCTTTATTGTTCTGAAATCAGCGACTAACGACAACTCAAGTTGCAATGTAAAGACCAAAACGATGGCCTTACTAAGTGGAATAGAACTTAGGGGCATGCTGCAGTACAATTATACGGAGCCCTAAGGACAGGAATGGGTTTTTATTTTTTTTAGGCTTCTAGACTTTGTAGTTGGTTAAGGAGACAAGGAGCCCTAAACCCTGAACCTCGAAATGCCCGGCATAATCCATGGAAATAAACATGGGTAGTTCTCTAAATTAGGGCCCCTTCTAGGTCCCCAATATAGTACGGCATCCTTCGATTAAGGACCCTAAAAGGGGCCCAATCCACAGAAATACGCACATAGACTATACCTAAGCGGCATTGTCATCTCGAAATCTCGAAGCTCGACTCGGTCTGCAATTAGAGCCCCTTCTTCTGTAGAAACGTCCGGGCCCCCCGCCAAATCTGGAGGCCCCGATGCACTAGTACAAGTGCCGCAAAATGGGGTATTATCTGGGGTAGTTCAGTCTAAATATACAGATATAAAGTCGCAAGATCTTGATCCTCAACTCTAGCGAAAGCCCTTAAAGCACCAAACCGCGGACAGCTTGTCCTAAGCCCTAGACCAACAGACCCTACCCTGAACCCTAAGCCCCTTAAACCCGGAACGCCACCCCGAAGCCCGGCTCCTCTGTCCCGTGCTTCGTAGGGAATTATAAGGGACCTTAAGGGACCATCCTAAGGATCCATTCCCCCTTTCCCGACTGAGCACCAGAGAGTCCTTGTGCTAGTCAGGTTGTCCCCTCCATCATCCACTTTCGCAGCTCCTCTCGGTCCTCTGGGCACTCGCAGGCAAGGCTCTGGATTGTGTGTATGCGCTGCAAGATGTCAGTGGTTTAGGGTTTAGGATTTAGGGGTTTAGGGTTTAGGGGTTTAGGGTTTAGGGTTTCGGGATTCTGTCAGGTTTGAGCAGGGACTTCCCGTTCTTGCACTTGTTGCTTGTCCGGTTTGTGTATGGTTTGATGGGTACTTTCACAATGATTATGAAACAACCCTAAACCCTAAACCCTAAACCCTAAACGGGTACATCGCCAACGTTGCCCTACATTGGAAAAGGCTGAACCAGCCCTAGAAGGTTGGAACATGGGTTTTGGATGATTTGTGCTAGGATCCCGTTATACCTTCCCTTCAGGCATGAGATTATAATGTAGGAGCCTTAATAAGAATATGGCTTTGGGGCCCAATATACTATAAGTTATAAGGAACCCACAACATGTTATAGGTACTTATTTAGGCCCCTACATTAACGCTTCAACTTTACGGCTTCTTGTGTAGACTGGCCTCCATCGCCAGTAAGCCTTGTCTCGTCGCCCCACGGATTCGCCCCGCTCCGCCGGCAAAGAGCGTGTCGGGGCAGTCCCTGTCTCAGCCAGGGGATCTAGGCTGTTTACGTTTAAGGCTTGGGGTTTAGGGTTTAGGGTTTAGGGGTTTAGGGTTTAGGGTTTAGGGTTTAGGGTTTATTTGTGCCTCTCTCTGTGCAAGGGGGGTCTGTACCTCTGGCGGCGTTCTTGCGAACCCTAAACCCCAAACGCATGCCTACAGAGAATGCTCTACTCTACCGGGAACCCCAAAACCCTCAATGCCAGCATTACAAGGTGCTCGTTTTGGGGATTCAGGGCCTAGGGCTTACAGGGCTTCAGCTTCAGGGCTCAGGGTCTCAGAATGGATACCGGGCTTACTCAGAGGTTCGTGGGACTGAATAACTACAGTTATAAGTACACTAATTGGGGTTATAACTAATTATAAGCATAGTTACTAAGTCCCACGAACCTTTAAGTAGGATCAGGGCTTGAGGCTTCGGGTTTCAGCGTCGTGGTGTACTATCCGAAGCTCCTCAGTCCTAACATGTCCTAACCCGATGAAAGGATTGCATGAAGATGTCATTTCTATCCCGCCGAATGGCGCCCGAACACCAAACCCTAAACCCTGAGCCGTAAACCACTGTCGAGTTTCATCAAGTGGCGATGTAGTTCAAGGATAAGTGCTTTTGAACTGCTGATTCAGACAGGATACTCCATACACCCCGAAACAAACAATCCCTACATGCGAAACCCAAAACGAAAAATAACATCTTGAAACCTCAATGTGACTTGGTTGTCTGGCACGAGAAGCTCAGCTCTTGACAGGCCAGTTCCGATCCACTGGATGTAGGCCTTCAAACATACCCCACTACAACAACCAAACTCAGGCGTCGGCGCCTACTATAGGAATATAATGAAGGAATCATTGACAACAATTAATTTGTGAACATAGATGCCAAGGGCTTTGCCAGGATTTTGCAAGGGTTATGGAGAGGGGCGTGTTGCAAAGGCTTGTAACACCGCTGAGACTCACCCAAGCCACCCTTGAGAGGGGAGAGCAGTGGGCCTAAAGGCTGTAGCCTCATTACGCCCCACCTCCAGGACCAAGCGGCCACTCAAAAGCTTTCGGGACCCACCGGCATATAAGCAAAACTATATTCGTCTGTAGGGGGGGGGACACCAGGGATGGAAGCTTTCGAGAGCCACCCCATCAAGGGTGAACCCAAGCCTGTCGGGGAGTCTCTGCTTCTCGGTTTCGGAAACATTCATGATCAGTTATGTTCCTCCCACGTAGCTCCCGTACGACCAACACTTCAGAAGTGAAAACTGCTTGGAGCTTAGGGTTTGGCGGCAGCAAGAGCTTCTGTTCGCCCCGGCAACCGCAATCGTCTTCGTGTGCTCGCAACGCCCGCTCCACCCCCCAACCCCGGTATGTTTGCAGGGCCGAAACAGACGACGTGTAGCAATTAGAGCTGCTGCTGATGACGAGAACCTCACGGTGTTAGATCCCGTTGCCGGCTCGGCGTGTCGAGATCGAAGTCTGGGAAGTTTCAGTTTACGCTGTGGGCATCACTGCATCACCATAGAACTCAGACAATCTCCACGTCTAATTAGTTCTTATGTCCGTGGATTTGGGGCTACCTCCATGGCCGCCTAAAAACTAACCTGAGTGTGTACCCCGACATCAACAAAACCGACACCACGGAAACATCATCGAAGCCACCCTAAACCCTAAAGCCCAACCCCAAACCCCTAAACCGAAGCCATATTGGCAAGGCCTGAACCTCAAAGTTCCCTAGAGCCCGACACAAGGATTCAAAGGTCCTAACCCCAACGGTCCAGGTACCTAATGATCATACCCTGGGGCTCCAAATAGCCCAAACTAGGTACTATTTGCAGACTTTAGAGCCCAAAGTAGGTACTATTTGTATACTTGGAGCACTCGGGATATACTTGAGCTACGTTACTATCCGAAGCTCGAGCACCTAATGACTTAAGTCCTTTGAAACCCCCTAGCCGCTAGGGTAATTTCGTGAGTGTTGCTGGCCTGCGCGTTCACAAAGCCTATCTCCAACTTCTCGGAACCCTCACCGTCGGTGGTGCGCCGGACCTGCACGCAACAAAAAAGCCTAAACTGTAGTTTTTGCAGCGTAGACGCATTGTCATCATTGCCTAAACCGTATATACCCTGCATCAGTCTGCTAGCTTGATATTCGTTTCTTCTTAGCTTTGCAGAAACCCTAAAGCCTAAACCCTAAACGGCTTCAGGACTGCGCATGAAAATATTGGAGAAGAGGACCTGAGGACCTGCACTTGGCTGCCCGAGAGGCTGCAACTAAACACACTCCAGCCCTAAACCCTAAAGGTTTAGGGTTTAGGGTTTAGGGCCCTAAACCCCTAAACCTTAAACTCACCCCAACCCACAATCCCAGCAACTCTCACTCAGCTTCAAACTCAGGTTGAGCGGAAGCCTACAGTAAGCCCCGGAGCTACCGTGCTCAAACCGACGAGAAGACGTAAAATCCGCAGACTCGGAAAAAGGATCTCGAGGGTCTAGATAGGGTTCAAATTTATCTGCGATCTGCCCTCAGCTTTGGTCCTTTAACAGTCGAACTGCACATATTGACGAACTTCCTGTCGAAACCATTGTGCAAGACCTTCAGCCGCAAAGCATCTCATGGGCGTACAATGCAGTACACTACATACTACATGCACTACAGTGTAAGTGTGTAGCGAGATTCTGAGTCAGGTAAAAACAGTGCTCTATATATATATATATGTACAAAGAAAGATACATCGATGTACATATGCATGTATGTATGTGTGTACAACACATATAAGAACCCAACGACCGCGCGCATAGCTGCTTCCGAGCCTGCTGGATGCCAGGATCTTGGCAGACAGTCTCGGTGGGAACAAGCGGCGACACTCCATGTTTAGGATTTCGGAAACACACAGGAAACAGGTGAGCTTTCCTGAGGCGCCGGCTGCATGCGAGCACTCCACATTCCACTTGCGAGTGCAATGCCAGCAGAAGCAATGCCTGCAACACACTCCCATGTCAAATGTGATCCGAAGTACCTTCATGGTGGATACTTGCACAAACCGTGGTAATATTATACTTTTGAACTAGCACCGTCACCTATTTTCTACCATTTTGCATAGGAGCGTTATTAATTGGAGTAGGGGTTTGGTGTGCAAGACAGTCAAGGTGTAATTATGGGGCCAATGCAGTGGGAATATAACTAAGTGCTCCGACCTTCTATTCGTAGGTACTGATAGGGGCCCTCGCGAATCTGCCAACGCTGCATGCAGCCGCGCCTGTGTGCCGCCGTAGTACCTTAGGACTCGAAGCTAAGACCCTTAACGACTTCAGGGTTCTATAGATGAGGGATCTATAGGGTTTAGGGTTGAGGTTTTGTGTTGAAGTTTCGTGGTGCATCGACTGAAGGACCCTCCAGCCTGCGCCGTAAGCTCTAAGCTCGGAGTTCGAAAGTCTACACTCCAACCGAAGACATATACCTCCGCTCAGGAGCTTCACTAATTTGTTAGTTGAAACTGTGTTTTGCTTCAGGGTTTTGGGCTTGGGGTTTAAGCTTTGCGGCGAGGGGTTTAATTCAAGCAGGGTCTATAGGATTAAGAAGTGCTTACAGCTTGGGCGGTAGCTTCTCATTGATGAAAAGGTCTCCATAGGCCGCAACAATCCCTTCCCCTTATGCAGAACCCAACGCCACTCCCGATCGTCCAACCGCATACCCTGGTTATACATACCTTCATTAAATGGGATACTCTGCACCTCTGTAGATACCTCAGCTTGCGACTTATGCATACAGAACTATACTAGATCCCCTGATCCCTGCCAGTCTCAACGGGTCCAGCCATGGTAGCAGCTAATAACATACAGACCCCTCGTTTCTAGGAAATAAGTAGATATGGATCTATGTGACTCGTACCCCACAACAACATCCAGAGCATGCTTGCGCAAGCCCTAACAGGGCTTTTGCCCAAACTGTCCACCCGACCCCGGCACATAGACAAGCACAGCCGCCTGGCCATTGTTTGCAGCCGTCCTCGTGAACTGCGAAGGTGAGCAACCCTGGTCGCAGCTTAGGCTTTGATAGGGTTGAATCCGGCTGTTAGGATTTAAAGCTCGTAGTTTATTCTACAATCAGCGGTTCGTAGAATTATGTGCCCGTAGGGTCCAGTTTAGGGCTAAGTTCGGGGTTCTTTGCGGCCCTAGGGTTTAGGCTCTAAGTGTTTAGGGTTTAGGGCTCTGAAATCCTAGATGGCGTGGTAGTTCGTTGGAGGCTTTCGTGAACCCATAAGTACCTACATAGGACCACAAGACGAATTCAAAGGAACCGCAAAACTGACACCTAGTGTACTCTTAGCTTGAACCCTACTTGGAGGTTCATGGGACTTAGTAAGTACAGCTACAAGTACCTGAATTGCGGTTATAGGCATCTGTAAGTATAGTTACATGAATTATAACCCTAGTTACTAAGTCCCATGAACCTCTAAGTGGACCCTAAACTAAACTTTGCCATAAACCTACTCACCCTGGTGGCCTTCTTGGACGCATTCCGGGCATAGTCGGAAACGTCGGAGCGCAAGGGCATCGTGGCCACACCCTCAAGGGATCAGTGTTGTTCGGCTTGTTTTTTTTTGGTTTGGGGTCTCGGACCGGGTCTTTGTTTCCAGGGGTCAAAACTGGGGCTAACGGTTTAGGGTTTAGGTGCTACGTGGTGCTACTTGTAGAAGCAACACCCTAGCCAATCAGACATACTAGCACTGCTTCGAGCTTACCAAAACGCCATCCCAGAAGGAAGGAAACTTGTAGCCAAACCAGGCATAATTGGTACCAAAGCTCAAACACAAAGATAAAATTCCTTGAGTCCGAAACCAAACTCATCAACGCCCTTAACCCAAACAAAGCCTGATTAATTCGATGAAATTAGTTAGTGCTGAACCTACGAATCCTGCTACAAGCGGGGCTCAGCTGCAGAGATAATACAGGGTTACACCATCCCCACATGGTTAATCTTACTTACTCGGTTGGTACATTAAAGCACGTAGAAGCCAAACATTTGGACGACCACGGAAATGATGCACTTAGATTCGAAGTCAACTCTCTGAGCTCTCTGCGGTCAGTGTAGTACTCCGGATGCGCAAGGAGATTCCTGTTGAGTTCTGGAGCTTGCTATTCAGTCTTTTTCGTCTCTGAAATTAGGTCTTTTGCTTTGGGTTTCGCCAACGCTCCGATGAAGGGTTTAGGGTTTATGGGGGGGGGGGGTTGGACTTACCGCTTGTTGTATTGGAGGTATTGGGCTTATACGGCTTCTCTACAGGGTTGCTGACTGCCATATCACACAATATACAGGCCGCACGATCGGAGCTCATCGTTAAGGACAATTCAGTGTCACGGTAGCTTTAGGATCTGCTTCTGCATGGTTCGTGCTTCCCGAGACCCAACCCTAGTCCCAAAATTACTCCAAGCTACACCCCAAAGCAGAACAAAAAAAACGGAGCCTGACTCCTAAGCCAAAGAACCCCGAACCCTACACCACGACCCCACAGCTCCTATTATCTCAAAAACCCGAGACTCTCCAAATCCCCAAGTCCCCGACTAAACCCTAAACCCTAAACCCCTAAACCCTAAACCCTGAACCCCTGCACCCTAAATTCCCCTAAACCCGCCTGTTCACCTCGTTGATGTCTTCCTGGCTTGGAAGTACACAGTTCCTGACAGCAGAGTCGGTTCGGTTTAGGGTTTAGGGTTTGGGGTTTGTGTTGGTTTCGTGCGCTGCGCTAAAAGTTGCAAGCCACACACACTTTGAAACCCATCATGAAGCTGTAGAAGGGGCGTAGAACCCTTCTGGTAACCCTAGCGCTTAAATCGAACCCTTATGGTATAGAACCCAAGCAATAACACTTCTAGCACCCATACCCTCATCTAGAACCTTTACCGGTCCACGCTTGCACCAGGATCCGCATGTCTGCAGGGTGCAGGGGTCGGGTTGACAATACGACCCCGGAGCCCCTTAACAACAAGGGTACCCTTCACGGTTTAAGGTTTTAGGGTTTAGGGTTTAGAGTACTATATAGTTTCAGTAAGGGAACCCCAAAAGAAAAAAATGGGAAAAAGGGTACTACTGCGGGAAGCTAGATGACGATGGCACTGCCTCTGGCTCGGGCCTGCAAAGACTCAACCTAGGTAACCTAGATGGGTTTCTTTTCTGCCGAAGCGACACGAACTCGAACTAGACCCGAAAGATAGACATAGATGGATGGATAGATCGATAGGGAGGTAGGTAGGTAGGTAGGTAGGTAGGTAGGTAGGTAGGTAGGTAGGTAGGTAGGTAGGTAGGTAGATAGACAGAGATATATCTATATATGGTTAGATAGATAGATAGATAGATAGATAGATAGATAGATAGTTAGCTAGATAGACAAATAAATGGTAGGCAGATAGATAGATAGACAGATAGATAGATAGGTAAGTAGGTAGATAGCTAGATATATAGATGGATAGACACATAGAGAGAAAGAATGACAGAAAGAAAGATAGGTAGATCGGTAGACACATAAATCGATAGACAGATAGAGATAGATAGATAGATAGATAGATTAATAGATAGACAGATAGATGGATAGACGGATAGATGGATAGATAGATAGATCACACCAGAACCCAGCCCGACAAAAGCAAGGTGGAGTACACGCCGACGAACTGGCTCTGACACTTCCCTGAACTGTGTAACTGTTCTGGAGCATTCGCGGAGCTGAGTGGCCTGTGGGCAAGGACGAGATTACCCACACCACCCGCATCAGTTGCAAGGGCCCGAAATCTTACCCTGGGGCTCCAAATAGCCCAAAATATGTACTGTTTGCAGACTTTAGACCCCAAAGTACTATTTGTATACTTGGAGCCCTCGGGTTAGGATCCATCCAGTAACAATCGCTAAGATTCGAGGAGTAAATGAACCTGAGATGTACATGTATTTAATTTCCATTGTGAAACACCTGGCCACAAAGCAAAGCTGCGGGCCTGTGGCCTTTCGGGCAGACCCAGTTGCAAAGACCTCTGGATCTGTACCTGTTCAGAGTCTTGCTCGAGGCTTTTGGCTGGGCTTTGACTAAGGAGGGTTTGGGGATCTGTGCCCGTCCCGGGATTTATATTCGTAGCCAGCGAGCGAGGCATCTGAGGTTCATGAATCCTTGCACCGTGTGGAGCCTAAGGGATGTTGGCCAGAAGCAGGGTTATATGAAGATGTGGATGTTGTGTAGCAGCTTTGCAATTCATCTGCCAGTATTGCGCCTAGCTTCGGATCACAGCTGATTGGAGCTGATGGGCCAGAAGAAGTTGAAGCCTACAAGCCCAGTCATCCACAGAATGGGTGAAAAGACTAGCCTGCTACACGGGTATGACACTGGGCTTCAGACCTTAATCTAGGGACACATATCACCGCATCCTATGACAAGGTACTTTTTTAGGCCCCTATGGTAGTGGGGCTCATGCCCTACCCCTTTTTAGGATACCTAGTTTTATGCTCAGGACCTGTTATATAGAAAGGTAAGTAACCTACAAAAGGGGTAGGGTATGAGCCTCGGGTACCCCGAAGAATTTCGCCTGTTCAGCTTCTACGATGTGGATGTTCGGGTGTATCTGGGATGTCCGACGTAATCGTCAAACCCTCGACCCTGCAACCCTCCTTAGTACGACAAATAGAACCCCTACGCCGTGAACTCGAACCTCAAAGCCTTTGCCGATGTCCCAACCCCAAAAGCTGAATCCTGAATCCTACACTCAACCCTAAACCCTAAACCCAAAACCCTACAACCTAAACCCTTACGGTTTGCAGGGTTTTAGGGATCCTAAATCTTCAACCCCAAACACGAATGCCTAAACCCCGGAGGCACTCGCGTTCGAAGTCCGTCCTCAGGCAGGGGCAGGACGCCGGGAAACTGTGATATAGTCTAGGGTTCCTTTACGGTCTCTTTAAAGAGTTCTACTAGGGTTACAACAAGGGTTGCATGATATAGGGGCCTGACAGCTTTGATAGTGTTCCTAAGGATATTCAAGACGGCTTGTGCTAATTCTTGCGTGTGTGAGCAAAAATCGACCGTGCGGTTTTGAAAATAAAGATGTAGGCCGAATGTAACTTACAGTTTGTTGATGGGTAGAACTCTTTTCCAGTCAGGATAGCTTTTTCTAGATACGGAACTCATCCATTTCAGGGTTTAGGGTTTCGCTTTAGGATGCCAAAGCCACTTCTTCGAAGCCCTTAAACCCTAGACTCTAAAACCCCAAACCCCAACCCTAAACCCTAACACGTCAATCCTAAATCCTACTTACAGTATCCCTAAACGCCCCCCAAACCCCGACCCTAAACCTGAGTGAGCCCATCGCCAGTGGCCTCAGGATCCAGTTGGCCATACCACAGCCAGGGAAAGAGCATGCCTCAGCGTGATTCTTCCAAGGATTTCACTGAGCTTTGACAGCTTTTATAGGATTTGGCAAGTTAAACCCTAAATCCTAAACCTGGCAAGGGTGCAACATAGCCCATACATAGGGCTTCAGGCTGTTGATTTCGGCTTCTGAAGTCGCACTCACGTTTTCCCACAAGCAATTTGCAGTTTAGGGTTTCGGGTTTCGGGAGCGGTTTGCACCCTAAACCCGAAACCCCTAAAACCCTAAACCCTAAACCCCTAAACCCTGAACCCCTGCGCCTGTCGGCCTGAACAGCTCCAAAGCTTTGGAATTCAGCGACGACGAGGCGAAGCCCAACGATACCCGAGGGCTAACAAAACTAGCATGGGAGCCTTAATAATTAGAATAGGATTCGGGGGGTATAGTATACCAAAACCTTATTCTAATTTTCAAGGCCCCTACAGTAGCCCCAAACCCTCATGCGCTAGCGTCTTTGGGCCCAGGAGCCCCAACATCTAAGGCCCTCTAGCCTGAAACGTCGTTGTCTTCGGTCCTATAACCCTAAGGTTAGGGTTTTGGGTTTAGGGTTTAGGGTTCAGGGGGGTTTAAAGATAACCCTAAACCCCTAAAAAATTAGGGTTTAGGGTTTAGGGTTTAGGGTTTAGGGGGGTTTAAAGATAACCCTAAACCCTAAACCCTAAACCTCTAAACACAAATCTGACTCAAAAGGCGTGGCCCCAGAGCCTCACCAGGATAGCACCTGGGTCGCCGGCGTAGTAGAGGTGCTCAGACATCCTGCGCCTGCAGTGCTTATGGTTGAGGGCTCGAGGACTGAAAAGCTTTGAGGTTCGGGGTTAGGGGGTTTAGGGTTTAGGTTGAGGATATAATGTAGGATTAAGGCGGGTTAAGCAAAACAATAACTAGGCAACAAAGCGATGGTGGAGCATTTAGCCTTAAGCGCTGGCATGGCATACGGGAATGTCAAGCGCAGCAGAAGGTGGGAAGTTCTCGAAGATGATGCACGAAAACGCAATATTGTGTTCCACAACATATATCTCGACAGGCTGAGTTAGGTTCTTGAGGCACTATTATCCCGACAGCACGTACTCTCAGTAAACACAATGTAGGCTTTCCAGATACATGCGCTCCAATCTCTTCTAAGCTCAGAACTCCGGAACCCTGCAACCGAAATCTTACACAGTCTCTGTGCTTCACACCCCAAAAAGTCTCGCAAAAACCTCAGTCCAAACCAGAGCAACCAGATAACAACTTGGAAGGCCCTTACACTCTAAACGAAGAAGGCGCGCAAACTACAACTGTATGGAGGCTGAAAAAAAGATGGCCACCCTGACACGGCTTGCTGTCACCTTTAGGATATCCTTCTTGTAAGTGTTTAACTAGGATCCTACTATGTACTTTTGGAGAGGTCGCTCTTGTCTGATATAACCATATAAACCGAACAGCCATATTGGATTCTGTAGAATCCCAAGTACTCGACCCGTAATGTCAAGAGCCCCCACCGGCGAGCCTTGCCATCTCCTGCCAGTCTGCGACCTTACAAGAATCACGAGGAGTTTGAGCAAAGCTCAAGAGGATCCTGGTTAGGGCTTATAGGGTTTAGTTTAGGGTTTATAGGGCTTAGGGTTTAGTTTAGGGTTTTGGGTTCTCAGGGTTCAGGGTCCCTGGTTCAGCGTAATGTAGGGCCCTTATAATTGGAATAGGGTTTTGGGGGCTCCTTATTGTATTTATAGCATAATCTACCCCCAAACCCTATTGAAATTATTAAGGCCCCTATAGTATGGGGTTCTCGAGGGTTTGGGGTTTAGCGTTCTCCTTGGTTTAGGGTTGCAGGGTTTTCAGGTTTAGGTGGCCTCCAGGTTTTAATTAGGATTCAGGGTGGGTGTAGAGAAATGTAGTGTGTGCTTTGTCAGGATAGTTTAACCCCTTGTCCCTAAACCCTGCGGTCTAGACCCAAGGCATTTAGAGATTTCCAGTGGTCAGGATGGGCTCAAAACTTTTGGATTTAGGGCTGTTTCGACTTTGCATCCTGCGTGAACAATAACAGATACACCAATCTTTGAAAGGTATATACTTTGTAGAATTTAAGGGGCCAGGGATTAGGGTTCGGACCTTTGGGGAGAAGACTTGGGTATGTCGTGATCACTTTCTGGAGGGTTCTGCTGTCAGCCACTTTTCATTGTTTTCAGTCCTCCGTATCGCCCCTCGTCCTAAAGCCATATAAACCTTATACATTCCACACCCAATATAGCTCGCACCCGACATCTGGAAAGCCGTATCCTAAACCCCCAGCCACTATTTGTGAACAAAGTTAAAGGTGCCTCAAGAAATGGACCTACTAATCATTCAGGCCTCCACATTAACCGAAAGACAAACATTCTAGTGCTATGGATGGCCCAGAGCTCCCACCAAAGGTATGGGGATCCGGGATTGTGAAAGCTTAGGCGGTGTCCGAACCCTGAACACTAAACCCCTAAAGCCTAAACCCAAAACCCCTGAACCCTAAACCTGAAAACACAACAGCTACATCCTAAGTCTCAAAACAGCTCGAGGCTTCGAAGCCTTTAGCCCTGCAAGCTCCAAACCCCTGAAACCCTCGTTCTGAACCCGCAGTGACAGAAGAACCTCATGGGTTTAGGGATTTGGGGTTTGAGGTTTCGGAGCCCGAAACCGCTTAACCCAACTGACCTTGATCTGGTTCTGGGAGTTCCGGATTATTGCTGCTGGTACCTTTTCTGCGTCGCAGGCCATCCTGCTGTGTCTAATCAGCTGGCGCAGCCGGGGTGTGCTGCTGTTGACCACTCTTCTGGCGTCAACGCTCTATATGCCAAGGTTTTGAAGTTAAAACCCGTCGCTCTCCGTGCCTAAACGGCTTCGAGGTTATGCAGCGTCTAACGTAGAAGCCTTAGTAACTAGAATAGGGTTCTGGGGTAACTATATTACAACTATAGTAAGGATCCCCAAAATAGTATTGGTAATTCTTTAAGCCCCTGTAATACATAGTTTGAGGCTTGAGAATTTTCGTTGGGACTTGCAGGGGCCATGCTTCAGTCAGACCTGCACAGCTGCAACTCAACCCCAAAATCATACAGTCGTAAAGCCATAATTGCAGCAAGTCATTAAACTCAGAGTCCTAAACCCTCAACGCAGAGCAATCAACGTAAGATCGTCATGTAACGGTTAAGCCCCCTAACTGCGATCTCTGCCCCGCTCACATCTCAGAACGTTCCTTCAGCTTTGCCAGCTCGCTTTCCGCCGCCTTGTGGGATGTCAAAGACATATGTGAAGTGAAAATCTGGTGCACAGGCGTCTAAAACCCTAGACCCTAAACCCCTAAAGACTAGACCCTAAACACCTAAAGCCCTAAACCCTGAACCCAGCTGTCCGGGACCAGGACTGCAGAGTCTAGGGCTCAGGGCTTGTGAAGCTTCCATGTCATTAAGGATATGGGTACTTGTCTAAATTCGGGTCCCTTGTAGGGTCCTTATCACAAGGGTGCCGTACTATTCGGCGCACCTAACATGGGACCCACACCATAGAGTCAGAGAACTACCCAAGTATGTAGAGGCTGCTTGGCCTCGGACCTCTTGTCAACGGATTCTGACTGTCTGCGTCTAGGTTGTGAGGCTTGCTTTGGGGTTTAGGCTGTAGGTTTAGTCTGTATAATTCGAGGTCTCGCAGCCAAAAACCTTGAACTCCCTCAACCCAGGAACTTGAACCCGAAGCTCTTCCGGCTTACATCCTTAAACTTTAACCTTAAACTTACCCGCGGCCGAGAAGACCTACCGTTTCTGGTTTCTTCCTATGGTTTTTATACATAGTTACTTAAACCGGTAGGTCTTTTGGGCCACAGGTAGACCTTCAAATGCAAACCCCTGAATCGGCTTCAGTCACAGAACCCTAAACCCTAAACCCTAAACCGGTGCCTTCAGCTTCTCGCGTAGCTCGGCAGCCTCGTCGCGATAGAGACTCAACTTGCCCGTCACGGTGTCTACCTGCGAGGGTGTAGGATTAGTCTTTAAGGTTTAAGGGTTAAGGGTGCAGGGTTTAGGGGTCCGGGCTTTGGGCTTTAGGGTTTTAGGGCTTGGGATTTGGCTTGGGGTTAACCTGTTTATCAGGTCTGATGCCGGCGCAGTCTAATGGTCTCGCAACCAAGTGCCCTTGGCGCTCCGAGATCCGGAATCCAAACAGAACTCGTTATAGAGGGCTCCATCGTCTGCGGTTAGGGCGTAGGGCTTAGGGTTTAAGAGGCCGAACAAGTCCTTCACTCCCATAATTAAATTGGCTGAACGACTACTTCCCACAGGAACCCACCATCCCACCCTCAAGGAACTCTTACAGGAACCCTTAAAGGCCTTGGATAACCCTGTAAAGGAACCCCCTAGATGACTCTAGGAACCCCTAAACCCTAAACCCTAAAACCTAAACCCTCAACCCTAAACCCTAAAACCTAAACCCTACAACCGAAACCCTAAACCCTAAACCCTAAACCCTAAACACTACACCCTAAACCCTACACCCTAAACCCTATAAAACCCTGCTAGAAACTCTGATGGGATGCCTTTTTGGAGGCATCGGGGCCAATGGCCAGCACAGTCCACGTTTCATCCTCCACCTGCTTTGCTTGCTTCTGACGCGAGCCGGGGCTTGGGGTTTCGGGCTTTTTTGGGATTTTGGGGTTTCGGGGTTTCGGGTTT